AGTCAAATTTTATCTTCAAAAATTTCAATGCAATGTCAATCGTTATCTTCTGTCTTCTTAATTCCTCTCCTTGCAGTGTTCTCTCTCTTTACTAGTGTTTTTTTCTTATATTCTCTAAAACTCAGCAATCCATTTGCGTCTTAGTGACTATATTGCATTGCTAGGGGCGAAAACGTATTATAACTATTTACATTGTTCGGACCGTTGTTCTCATCTTTACTGTTACATGCACAATGTTTTGGACGTTGTACTCTCCGGCCTTATTAAGGTGATATTTGTTTGAATTTTGAACCGAAACATGTATTTAGTCCCTGCAGGTAGATTGGTCTAATTCCAAAGGCATAGTACTTGGAATTAGAACAATCTACTCCATTGATTAAATAATGGGTTCAGTTCGAAATTCCAATAATTATCACCTGAAGAATCCGGGGCGTACAACGGCTGAAACTATGTGAATATGACAGTAAAAATGAGGACATTGTTAATAGTGTAAATAAAAAAGTATAATTTTTACAGATGAAGCGGAAACTTGCAACAACAGAGACATGGTAATTTGGAATGAAGCTAAGAATATCATGGGCGGTGTATGTGAGCAATGAGGATGTATACAACAAAACAAAAAGGATATTTGTACTTCGAATCACAGATGAAATATCTGGGTCACATAATGAGGAAGGAGGGCTTTGAGAATTTGATACTCACAGGACATATCGAAGGTAAGAAGAACAGAGACAAACAGCATGTCACATACTTAACTTTGCGCAGATGGATAACTTGAGATAATGCTTCAGTTCAGCAACAAGCACTGTGGAAGACGATGAAAGTGAATTTTCAGTATTCATTTCAATAACAACCTTAAATCAATCAAACTACCATACGTCCCGGTTATTGGTTATCTCCCTTTTTTAATAACGCAGAAATGTCATCCCATCACCACCGCCTAATACAAAAGAGGTGTACAAAATTTGACCTCATCATCTGTCTGTTTCAATTTGAGCCCATTAACTGCATTTTGAAATAACCTGCAGAGAACAATAAAAAGACGCCAATTGAAGCAAACCGGTGTCTGTCATTAAAACGTTGCAAAATTAAATAAAATATCGGACAAGTTGATGTAAGTTGGTGTCCGTTCAAATGTTTTCGCACGTTTGTGAAAGGAGGCTAATTTTAAGTGCAGAAGTCCTCACCCACCAAACTCCTGCTTCATATTCTTTTAAAAATAAATGTTCTATATTTTTCACTTCCTGGTGGTTAACTACTCATTAATCGTATGTGTGTTTTTTTTTGTTTTTTTTTAGCAACAGTTATTGATCCATCTACACTGGCTCGCGCTCAAACAAATACCGAAGTTGCCTCAGTAGCTAATACAACAAAGCTCTCGATATCGATTAATTTTTTTAATAGCTTCATCCCAAGCAAGGCGACAATGCCACTAGAATGCATGTAGCTATTTCAACAGCGAGAATTGTATCTAGCTATTTCAACAGTAAAACTCTGATACCTAGTTGTCATTCACGCTAATCAAGAAGTATGCTTAAATTCATACAGTCAAGGTTCCAGAGAAAAATAGCTTTATGAGAGCAGATGCCAAGAAAATATTTGTAGAACAGACAGAAGGAAGCCCAATCATGTCGGTGAGATAGTGACTGGAGATGAGATACCAGACCAGGATCTATTGTATTGCAGACCTTTCTCTGGATTTTGTCAAAGATATTGAGATATACAGCATGATCACCAGAACAGATATAGCAACAATATTTACCATTCGGAAGAATGATAGATTTATAAATGTGCAAGATGGATTCTAACGAGAAACTATTCTTGGCACAACACAGTGTCCGTACAGAAATTCTTATTAAGATTATAATTTTCTGGAAATTGGTTCTGTGACCGATTTCACACAATCAAATGTTAATTGGCTACATACGACGATTCGTTCATGTCTTCTAGTTGTCCGCCGACCAACATCGTGAAAAACGTTTTCGTTATCTTGGTGGTAGCGGTGGTGGTGGTGGTGGAGCACTTTCTCCATCAAAAAACATTTAAAGGCGTCAGTAGACACTTTAGTTATGTTTAAATCCTTCAAGAGGCCAACGAACAGATAATGAATTCGTACTTTCCCCAAGAGTATTTACGTGCATAACCAACCACGACTGGTATTGAAACTCGACTATCCGATTTGCAATTACGAGCCGTTATCAATTACACCACCCGCACATCCAAGCTTAGAGCACCTGATATTCCTAATCGGTCACAAATAGCGATTTCAAAAACAGAAACAATCTGGAATGAAAGCAATGATGACATATATCCTGAATTCATCATAACAGGATGTCTAATTAATCAATGTTAAAGACTTCAAAGACACCGGTATAAGGATTAGTTACAGCCAATTTAGAATAGGAGATAAATAAACTGAAGACAGAATATTCAGTGATAGGAGTAGTTTTGTCCAGAACTGCAAGAGGCTATAAAAACAAAACATAAGAAAATGAGACATTGTTCGTTGCCATTGAATCAAAACATAAAAATATTCAGGATGCCAGTGTATGGATATATGGATATAACAAATTTAGTAAAGGAGAAAATGAAAATGGATATAGAACAGGCTGTGCTAGGTGTAGTTTTGTCTAAAAACGCAAGATGCTTAAAAAAAAAACAAAATAAAACAATACTCAAGAACTTGAGCCAGAGTTCGTTGCGGCTCAAGCAAAAACTGGCAAAAGAGCAGGATGCCGATATATGGATCAGTTATAGCAAATTTAGTGTAGAAGAAAATCAAATTGAACATAGAACAGGTTGTCATGGATGTCCGCCTTGTTCAGAAATATCTAAAAAATCAACTCCATGCATACTACCATAACTATATTTAGAGAGCTGTGCTTCACATTGATATCTCTCTCTCTCTCTCTCTCTCTCTCTCTCTCTCTATATATATATATATATATATATATATATATATTTATTTAAATGGTTATTATGCAATGTTGAATCCTATGCCCGCTTTGTCTACATCTGTCTTTTTTTATCTCTGCCCTCTCCTACTCAGAGTATATATATATATATATATATATATATATATATATATATATATATATATATATACTAGACTCTCCTGTCGGAGTCGACGTATGAGGGTCAAGCAGGAGAAAACAGGAGACAACAGCCCGACACCCGCACATGAGATTTGATTATAGTGGTGAGGGTTTTGTGCAGAACCATCCACATTTTTTGAAGGTCCAAATGCAGAGACCTTGTGCGCTACGTGCCACAAGGTCCCCAAACGACTCTTAGCAGGTTTTGAATTCAGAGTTGTCCATCTCTTAGACCAGTTGTCATCCAAGGATATAGAAACCTATTTCTGTGCTGCTATTTACCTATACCTGGTCACACACACACACACACACACACACACACACACACACACACACACACACACACACACACACACACACACATACGCATATATATATATATATATATATATATATATATAACAGAATGATTTAACTGTCACAGAATAGTATATAATTTGAGCAGCCTGAAACATCACGTCAAACGAATTAGAGGGAGCGAATTAAGTTAAGCGAACCTTTTTAAATAAAAATTGAATTTGATTTCAACACAATGCTCGGTCAATGGATGCTAAATCTTTCTTCATAAGGAAACGGCTAACCCTCATTACCCTTATCGGCAAATATTTTGCAATATTTTTGAAAAAACAAAACAAAACAAAATACAAACAAGCGATGGAAACGACATTCGTGTTGCAAAAAATTTCTTAGTTCAGTGTAGGGTATTTGAGATTCAGCAGCTGGCGCGCCCATACAATTGCATCTTATAAAACGAGTTGGAAATATTAGTGTATTAGTATGTAGCGTACTGACCCTAAAAGATACAAAACTATGCTTTGCACCCAGTTTAACATCATAGCATCAAATAATCTAGGTGCATTAGAAGGTTAAACTGAAGGTAACCACAAATCCACTAGGTGCAGAATCGGGTCTCAAAGGCTGCCCTCGACATATAAACAAGTGGTAGGCTCCGCTGAGCTTAGGATGTGCAAACTCATTTTTCATCCAACGAGAAGATCAACGTTCGAAGAAAATTCCCAAAACCACACATCCTCACGCTGACATTAATTTAATGAATTCTTTTTAACCCTTACGACGATAATGTTACACAATTATCTCTATTACTATCTATTCTATAGCCTTGGGTGGCAATCAGTCTAGAAGAAGGAAAGCTCTAAATTTAAACCAGTCTGGAGAAGGTTGGGCTCCGTCAAACTATTTTACCCAAGGCACCACAATGGGGTGCCTTTACGGCTTTAATGAGTTACGGGACTGGTGATCGTGATGACGATAAAATAAATGAAGGCCACTGATCGGAGAGATTGGAGGTTTTGAGAAAATAGTGCCCCCCACCCCAACGAAAACAAAACACTATGAAAGTATAAAAATACATTTTTATCATGAAGATGCCAACAATACTTTTTTATATAAAACAATTACCAACAATACATATTTGTAGTAAAATTAGCAATAATAATTTTCAAAGCAAAATGACCAACAATACATTTTATTTGTAGGTGAAGCCATAAAGTTTTGTTCAAAATATATAGATTTCAGTATTAAATAACCCATATATGTGTTGATATGCCTCTAGAGGAAATTAACCAACCCAAACACCTATAACTATCTAAGCATTCTTCTACGGCAGGAGCCTCATAAATACGTATATTTTAGAAAAAAGTAAAATAAAGCTCTGAGTTTACAGTGTCTTAAAGTCCTTAGGTGAGGTTTTCAGTGATGATCGCATTTATAATGATTTCTACGATTTGGTAACCATTGTTCTACGTATATTTCAGAAATCAATATAGAGAGTTCATAAGGACATGAGGTGAGAAAACACGCCCAGGATCTAACTCAAGAAACCAATGAAAGGCGCTATATAAAAAAAAAATAATTTAGAAAAAAATGTAAAGAAAAATAAGTTTGTTAATTACTTACCCGTTTATCATTTATACTAAGTAAATCCGACTGTTCAGAACGTCCGGCTAAATAAGCGGCCAAATTAGCCGTGTAGCTAGCGATTATAAAAATAGCCAATCCGGCCCAGAAATTTTGCAACACCTTCCCAGGCCAACTTTTGGGGGATTTGGTGCGCACAATATGTCCGAAAAGCACTGAGTAGACCATTGTCAGTGCAGAACCGAGCGTGTAGTTTCTTTCCCTCTTCCTCCCCTTTGGGTTGAGCCCAAATGGACTATTCCACTCAAACAGCGACGTCGCCACTGCGGTGACCGTCGCACTGATGACGATTCCCAACCAGACTTCCACGGAGAAAGGCTTCAGAAAGGCGTCCATGGAAGTCTCACGTTCTTTCTTCATGGTGATCATTGAAAACCCCGTATAGAAGTAAACCTCTGTGTAAGTGATATACTTCATACGTTCCACCGTGATGCTGAGCGGACCAGCCACAATGTCCGCCAGATCTTCCTCTAGATATTGCAGGGTATCATTCCAGATCTCCGAGCCATACATCGTCTGGTTCGCGTCGCCGCTGTCGCTGTCGCCGCCGCTGGGGGGCTCCTTAAGAAAGAAGAGGATAAAGTCGAACTCCATGTCGGTTGCAAGTTTCACCAGGATGTCGATCGTGACGCCCGTGCAGCACGATACGACGTATTTTTTATGGTCGTAGCGATTTGTCAGCAAATAATCTTCAAATGCGTTGGACAGATCACTGTCGTTACCGCTTTGCAACTGGACGCAGGGCGCGTACGAGTAGCACTCCCCGTTCTCTGTGAAGGCCTCCTTTTGCATGATGAATGGTGGCGAAATCTTGGTGATGACGCGGTACAACTTCCGTGTCCGGTGCGTCGAGTTGTGTCGCTTCCCCGGAAGTTCCACCATGGTGCTCAAATTTACATAGAAGTTGTCCAGGGACCCCACTTCCTTCCAAATCTTTGATCCGCCAAGGTCTGTTACTAAGTTTAAGACTTGAAAAGAGTAGTTCGTTCTAGTGGGAATGAAACCGTCTCCGATGGGCACGGCCATCTCGTCGGGTGATTCAAGGCTAACTTTTAGATCTCTGTCACAAAGAAAAGAAAAGAAAAATAATTAGACATTTAAAAAAAAAACAGAATATTTAGTCAATTAAAGTGTTTTTATAAAGGAAATAAAGCAGTTTCATCTTGATCATATCAGTATCCAACAATGTTGCACCGCTAACCGGAGTCATGTAAGACAATTTTTCCATAGGCCGTGGAAGGGGTCTTTGTGGCTAATGCACATAAAAAAACATTATAAACAAACCCGCGATAGTCAATAAAATGGAAAATATCTCTATCTATAAAAGGCAGGATGTGTGTGTGTGTGTGTTTGTGTGTAACGAATGCACGGCCGCAATTTTCGACGGATTTGCACCAAAATTTACATGCACATGTTCCAAGTTAGTGGAAAGGCCAAGACCGACTTTGCATTTCCCAACTACCATTGATAGTGGAAATAACCGATTTTTTCATGCTTCTACGGCACTTTTCATGTAGTTTGCGGCCATTTTCTACTGGCCAAAGTGAGAGCCTATAGCTGGCTGCCACGAATAGGCAGGAAGATTCTATTGGTCAGCGTGAGAGCCAACAGCTGACTGACACGAATGTTAACTAGCATGCTAGCATGCAAAAAAAAAAAAAAAATCGATACCTGCATTCGTCACAAGTGGGAAAAATTTAAATCTGCATGGCATTTTATTCCGATTAGCTCATTCGCTTGCTTAAACTCAACGTTGATTCTGATTCCGCAGAACTGGGTTGGGCGTGAAAAAGTATTTGTTGTTAACATTCTTTTTTCATTCGGTTTTTCCTGTTACGAGTCCTTTTTTAAAGCTGATCGTTTTGTGTTCATTTTGTTTAGTTCTTTTTTCGTAACAGATTTAATGTTTAGTATAGGGCTTAGAAAAAATTCGCAGTGTAAGATAGGCAAGAAATAAGGCATGTAGCAACATCAGCACGGCAAAGGGCACTCCTTTAAAGGTAAGGAAGGGCAAAAATATTTTAAGTCAAGTGATAGCGATTGCTGTATGAGTCATACGATTTTTGAATCAAGCATGGGCAACCAACGCCGGGGCATGCTGCTATATATATATATATATATATATATATATATATATATATATATATATATATATATATATATATATTCATCATGCGGCCGTCCGGTACCAAATAGGCCACGACCCGGTGGTTGAGGACCGCCATGTTAGGTGATATCAACCATTTTCGATTTTATCAGTTTAAAAAGAAAAATAAATAAACTTTTTGCATGTTATATACTTAACACGGAACAATACAGTGAATGCTCTAATTTAAGTTCTTTGATGATTGAAGCATTTAACGAGTGGCTATAGATATTTATTTCCATGAAATGTTATATGATGAAACATACTAGATATTTTTCACAAAATATCTTTGTAAAATGGGGGCGTCTTATGTGAGGGTGCGTGATAAGCGAACGTAAATACGGTAATTCGAATCAAATTTCTCATTAACCAACGCTAATCGAACAGAAAAACGTCACAACGTTCTATGCATGAAACTGAACCAAAAATTTCATTCGTTCTTTGATTGATTTCATAAATTTGTGTCTATTTAAATGTCTCTCATATGTTGATTCTAGAAAGAATGCATTTAATATCAACTCAATATCAGGCGGATTTATATCGAATAGGTGTCATCTAATTCATTGGTCCCCAACCGTTTTGCACCAAGGAACGTTGTCATGCAAGACAATTTTTCCACTGACCGGTGCGTAATGTGGGATGGGGGTGTCGGCATCGGTCACGCGTATATCAACACAATAAACGAGACCGCGATATCCAAATAAATGGGGACCGCTGTTCTATCAAAAATAATTTTTGATTATTAATTCATATATCAAAAAATTAAAAAGAAACGATATAAGTACATTCCATAACAACGCAAAACAATTCTTTTATACACAATTTTTCACCCAAGGCCTAAGAGCCACTCAATGTAGAGAATTACTAAATGATGTTGCTTTATAGACATAGATTGGATGAATTGTAGATCACGAGTATATGTAGGATAGATAATGTTAACACTAGATTAGAACGGGTTAATATTATAGTTATCTGGGAAGCATCCTCTCGGGAGTCTGTTTCAGAAGATAGCAGCTGTCCGAAATAAAACTTATATATCCGTATTTCTGGTCTGCTTCAAATTTAAAATCTTGTTTGGGTAATTCAGTATTATATTTTAATTATTTATATAAAATGTTTTACATTGATCTATTCAGATCAATTCCTTATCTTATTATATGGTCACAATATTTGTAACCTCCGGTCTTCTTCAGGAGTCTGTTATTTAATTTTCGCTGTAGATTATTGTCGTTCTGGCGTTGAACGGTGATCTTGGACTTGCCCAGAGAAGTGCAACATAGTTTGATAGCGGTAATTATATAGTTTTTTTCAGGAATTAACAGAAGTAAAAGAAAAGTAACATACCCAGAAACCGCCTTCACCATTTAAGTCTAGGCTAAATATCTGATGGTTTGTTGAAGCCGTATCGGATTAAAGCGTTGGTTCGTGAATTTTCGTGAGTTATGAGTTCAATCCCTGGTCCCGGCTGTGTGAACTTAGATTATGTGAAAACGGGGTGAGTAATAACTGAGCAATACTAAAATAAAAACTAGAAGGCATATGCCTAAACATGGCCAGTGGAATGAGAATGATCCATCCCCGTAGATAGTAGGACTGATAACGTCTCCGATCTCGTCTGGTGATTCAAGGCTGACTTTTAGATCTCTGTCACAAAGAAAATAAAGTAAAAAAAATTGAATAATAATGGCTACAGTTCGAAATTCCCTGTAGGTTACCTAACTCGATATACCCCTGATGAGGGCCGGAGTGCACAATAGTCGAAACGTATTAATAACAACAACAAAGGTGAGGGATATTCTTCGAATATAAATAATGATAGCTCAGAAATTCAGACAGAAATTATTGATTTGATGTGGCTTGTAACAAAACAATAATAAATGTTTTTTTTATGATTACCCAATTAACATATCTTCAATAATTTGCAAGTTAAAGTTCAAATTTGAAAGCAATATATATCGACTTTTTGTTTCGGAATATTGAAATTCGAACAACTCTTTTGAATCTAACAAGATTACAAAATATGGAAATTGGATGTCAGAGAATTAACTAAAAATAAATGATTCTTGCTAACTGAGCTTGAACATTTTAGATGTGCTCATCCAAAATTCAAGAAAAAAGGTTTCATTTAGTAGTTATAATGTGTGGAGTTTGATCCTAAACGTTTCATTGTATTCAGCAATAACTCTGTGTACGGTCTGTAATTTTCAAAATAAAGCTCTGCGAATTTTTGACGGCTTATCAACCCTTTAAATATTTTGAGTCTAAGAACAATTCTTTTTTTTTGTCGGGTAAATTAAGAATTTTTTGTAAGATAGAAATGATTTTTTCCAGATACAAGTCCTACTATTTAACCCATATCTGGGAGAGAAGAGCTCGATTCATAACTTTCCCAAGGGTATTTGCGTTTAGGTGAATGTAAATTTGCGAACTAAGTTCATTACACCACACCCACAGACCTGAAGTTAAGGAAGACGCATGAAATCAGTGAATAACCTGCCTAATGAGTATGTAAATGGTTGGCAGAATCGATGTTTAGAAGTTTAGGAGAGATAACCAAAGACAAGATTTAATAAGAACTACAAAAGAGAGGGATTTGTGGAGCGCTATGATCGCCAAATTCCTTGAAAACATAGACACATAGAAGACATCAAAGGTCGGTGTTCCAATTCAGGAAAATGAATGTCGAATTTTTGAATAGATAGGCAGGCCATCTGTAATGTGGAAATTTGTGTAAGAAATGTTCTTACTTTTCTTTCTTAATTTCGTCTTGTTTCATGCTCAATTAAGTTTAGAGAATATTGAATATACTATAAACTGCATACGCCTAACATGATACGTCGTAACTCTATTTATACATCGTATACATGGACCTAATAAAATTTAACTCTGGAAGTAAAAAAAAATAAATATTTGTCACTGCTTGGGAATGTAAACTAGTCATAGGAAAAATAGTTTCCAGAAATGTTCATGCATTTTCATAAGGTCGCTGCCATAATATGAAATAATAAATTAAAGACCAATGTAAGACAATATATAAGTTCAGGCTTGGAAGTAAAGATAGGCATTTTAGATTGAACTTTAGACGGCATCTTAAGATACTTAATTGCAGGATAATTAGAAAACAATTATAACTAACAGTAATATCGATGATTCTGCAATTACGAGTGTTGATGCAAATGGGTTGGTCTGATCAGTATATTCCCACTATTTCTTTTTTGTTGATAATTGAAGAAGAACTAAAGCCGAACCCAAGACAAAAGAAGACCCAAATGATTTCAAGTTGAGATACAAGGGCTTCTACAATTTGTCAGCATCTTTACAAGTTATTTTCTTTCTTTAGAATTGTAACTCTATTAAGATTAAAATTATGGCTGAAATTATTTCTGTGTAACAAATGTGTTGGAAAAATATTTTGTACATTTTTTTTGTGTTCATAAATTCCTTTTTTTTATATTTCGATGTCGCATCTATATAATTTCATAAACAACTCTTACAGTTTAACTTATATATACCTACATTATTTACATTATTCGGTCTATTGTCCTCATCTTTGTCGCTCCGGCCTTCTTCAGGTGATTGGAATGTCGAACCGAACCCTTTATTTCGCTCACTGGGGTATACTGTTCTAGTTCCACGTGCCATGTTTAATGGATGTCAGTTATCAGTTATTTCCTGTTAATTTTCCCTCTGAATGTTTTCCACTGCCTTAGCCGGGTATTGAACTCACATAAACACTCTTTGGGTTATGTCACTTATATCCACTGTACCATATGTACTTCAGAATTTTTATTTTTTGATATAGTTGTAATTAGTTCAAGCCTAAGTTTACATATACTTAACGATAATTGTTATGGAATTGGTAGGCAATTCTTGTTTTTGTTCTAGTTATTCTGATTAACGTTTTGCTTTTTAGA